AAAGATTCACCAATCCTTCTATCGATAAAGGAAAATGTTTGAATTTTTTTTTTAACTTTTATTTGTTGGAAATAAAAATGAATAAAATAATTCCAAGCATAAAATTATTAAAGTAATAGTTAATGGTTAACATGAGTAACTAAAAGCATCCTTAAACTTTTTTCCTGAGTAAAACTATTTTAGCCATGTACTGTAGTATTATTCTTTACCATTAAAAAAACTAAAAGTTAGAAATCAAATTTTGAAGAATTTAATTAATAAATATATCTTTTAAGAAGAAATTAATAAAAATAATTTTTAACTTATAAAGTAAAATAAAACATATATTTTTATGAAATTTTTTAACGTGCATCTAAGGATATATGATAAAATTTTTTAAAAATTATCTCTATTTTTATTTCTAAATCTAAAAAGTAAAAAATTTACATAGATAATTTTTTTAATTATTTTATTAAAATTAATTACTAGTTACTAATTTATTTATTTTAATATTTTTAAACTCTCGATCTACTTAAATAGTACAAATATTTTATATGAAAAAATATTGATAAAATAATAATAATTAAGCTGCTTTAGATACATAAATAATTAAATACTTATTTAAAAATATTTTTAAATGATAAATTATGCTATAAATTTAATAATAAAATTTGAAAATAATTTATTTTAATATATTATACGAAAAATTTAATTAAATAAATTAAAACGTTCTAAATATCATAAATTGTTTTAATAAGTTGTTTATTAATTTTTCAAATGAATCTTTATTATTGTGTTGAATTTTTATCAAACATATAAATAAAATTAAAATTTTCTTCTCTATTGAAATAAATAAAATAAGGAAATATATACATTTTATTAAAAATGATAATATTTACTACTATTAATACACTAAATCATATTTTGAATTATACATAACGTATATTAAAAAATTATATTTTTTAACCAAAGTAAAATTTTCTTGGATCCTGAATCATGTGGTTTTAAATTTTGACTTTGTTTGATAAATTGTTTTGTATTTACTATTGGTTTAACGGTCATTGATTATTCAATATTCATGTCCTGAAAGAGAAAAAGAAACTATATCCCACTTTCTGCATTTCGAAATTTGCGCAGTGCCGGGTTCGATAAATCCATGGAAATGCAAGTTTTGATAAATCTGGGGTCTTCCAACATGCAATCTTTAGAACAGTTCAAATGTCTTTTTCTCTGTCACTCTCTCACGCAGAAACACAAACAAAGCGCACCATAGAAACTACAGCAGCTTTTGTTTTATTTGTTTGGAGAACATAATTTTAAAAATATTCTATCTGTTTTAAGCTATACAATTTATTTTAAAGTGATTAAAAATATTATTTTTTTATTTTCAACATTTTAGAGACCGATATTAATAATTTTTAAAGTATAAATTGACTTAATTCCAACATATTGTGGGTGGTTTTTCTTTATATTTTATAATTTTACATAAATTATATATTTTAAATGTAAATTCAATATTTTATTAATCTCTTGAATCATTAGTTAAAAATGACAAGTAAATATTTTATAAATATATTAAAATTCATTAAAAATACAAATATTATTTTTCTATTAACTAGCAAAAAAGAATATATAATACGCACTTATAACAATTCTTAGATTTACGTTGCCGACTTTTGTGTTTGTCATAATATGATTACATTAATAAATAGCTCAACGTGTTTTTCTAACGGGACCACAGCGGCCATGTATGTCCAATAATATGTTTTAAGCTTGAGTCATGATGCTCTATTTCTAACAAAGACTAAACACACATTCTAGATTCTTAAAGGTTTATTACTTTAATCTATATTTGTTTTTTGAAACTTTTCTCTTAATTTTATAAAATTATATTTGTTTATTTTATAATTAGAAAATAATAGTATAAAATATACAAAATCTAAAAGGTTGACATTATAATTTTAAAGATTAAAATAAAAATTTATTATCTTAACCAAAATCTATTAAGTACTTATTATACTTAGAGATGACAATAAATAATGTATGGATAGGAGGTACGTAAGTACCTATTTCTATATTCGCGTTTTAAAAAAATATTTATATTTAGTCTCATATCCGCGTAAATAGTAATTTTAATCTTTGTATCTTTACTTTTAGAATCTACGTACTTATACTCGCATTTGTCTAAGAAAAAATTGAATAATTATAAAAAAATATGTTTATATAATTTTATATAAATAATATATTAATACAAAAATTTGATACATGTCTTTCGACAAAGTTCAAGTATTAAGAAAACAAATATTCAAATATCATAAGTGTTAAGTATATCTTAATACATCAACTATCTAAACTAACGTACCTAAAAACTATAAACAAAATTTCACACATAATCTTTAAGATGTCTAAAACAACCAACTCATAAACTTAAAAATCATGTACACTTAAAAAAATTTAAAAAAAATATAACATTAATTAATTATTTATTTTAAAATCAAAATAATAGATATAGTTAGACTATTTTGTCTCTTTATTAAAAACAAACTTCTCAAATGAACGCTTATCTTTTAGGTTTATATATTGCTTTGGTCCAATAATACTAATAGAAGCTAAAACATACAAGTATATGATAAAAATTAAGTTTTATATCAATCATGTAATAATTAAATTATATTAACCTAGTTAAATAATATAAAATAGTAAATAATTTTTTCTATTAAAAATATAAAAAAATTATTTTTATGGTTTACTTTATTGATAAATATATTTTTATGTTAACCTTATAAAACAAATTTAATTAAATATATTTTTATATCTTTAAATATGTATTATTTTATTTGAGTAACATAAATATTTATATTAAAATTTTTAGCCTTTTATTTTGTATAGAAAATATTTTGATAACAGATAATTATAAATTAAAAGATAATATTACTTAAAAATTTAAAATAGAAAATTTGTACATTCAAATAAAAATAAAAAAAACTCTAAACTGAGTAAAAATACTAAACATAAAATTACACAAAATAAACAATGAAATCTTTATTTTGACCAAAATTTCACAAAAACATTCACAAAATTTTTAAAAATAATTAAAAGTAGGTTAGATTCTTATTTTTTTAAATACTTAGTTGCTCCATTATAAGTAAAATATTATTCAAATAAGATTATATGAAACTAAAATAAAAATAATTAAAAATATTAATAATAATTATAATATAGTTTTAAACTTACTTGTTAAAGACTTATCTTTGTATGAAAGTTGTCATACTTAATCTCTAAATTCTATAAAAAGTGATAATTTAAATATTTCTCTATATATAATACTCATAAAACATAATTCTCAATAAGATAAGTTGTGAAGTAACTCATATAATTAAACATAATTATTAATAATTATAAAGAAAATCTAATCAAATATATAAAATATTAAGTATTAACTTTAATTCTTACTTATCATAAACTTTTAAGTTAAGACCTCTCACATATAAATAACATATATATTACCTACCTATATATCATACTTATTTAGTATGTGAATATCCTACCAGTTTAAGATAAATTTTGCGGTACCTACTTTACTTATTGTACTTACGTTTATAATTTTCAAAATATAAGATCCATACGAATCCCTCACAATATTGTACTTGCGTTAGGTATATCACCTAAGCAAAACACATGTATTAATTAATTAATTTTTTAACAAATAATGATATTTACACTACTGTTATAAAATCATGTGACTAATAAAAAAAGCGAGACAGTAATTAGAAAATTAGAAAAATATAAAAGTAATAATAATAAAAGCTTAACATGGAAGTTATGTGGTCATGGTCATAGGGAATAAATGTGGTGCCCTGGTCAGCGTGACGGTACGTAGACGCAATGGGAACGCCAAACAAAAAAGTTGAAGAGAGACAGAAAACAAAGTTTCCGCGTAGACAGATCAGACACCGCAGGGACTGTTAATCTGTGATGATTCATAAAATAAATAAATTAAAATAAAAATATGACGAAAGCAAATACTCATTTGTTCAATAACATGCATAATTATTATTTTTATTTTTTACATTAATAAATTTTCATTATTAAGTAAAAATTAAGACATTTTAACATTTTTAAGATTATATATATATATATTTAATATTTAATTTTTAGATAAAATATATAAAGTGATATGACAAAACTGTAAATGATATTCTATTAAAAATAACCAATGATTTGATGGTACAAATATGAAAGTGGATAAGCATTATTTATATTGAGGTATGTCCCATGAGGAGGTCATGTTCGATTTTCGCCATTATCAATTGATCTTCATTTTTGAAAGTCGATTTGTAAATGTTGTAAATTTTGGGAGAACGATATAAATTAGTTATTAGAGTAAATAAAAACAAATTATCACTTCTTTATCACTTCATCAATTAAACAACCTTTGAACCAAAAACGGTTGTTTACATAGTTAACCAGAAAAAGAAAAAAGAAACAATTATTTACTCAGCACTAACCTGTGTCAAACATGTTAGGAATTTGTCGTTTTTATACTTTTATTTTAATAAAAATTATTAAAATATATTTTTCTTGTTTTATTATCAGAAAAGGGAATATATAAATGATTATTTTTATTTTTCTCAAATATCTATTTAACTTTGATTGCGTTAACAAATAAACAAGAATATACGTTATTAATTTTTAAGATTAAATTAAATTAAATTTTATTCTCTAAATTTGTATTTTTATTTTATAAATTTTAAAATAATAATTAGTATCATTTTTAATGACATAACGTGCATTTTGTCATATTAAATCAACAATTGATTTTAAATTAATAATTAAATAATGTGATATATTTAAATATCATTCCCTTATTACTAAATAATAATAATAATAATAACTATTTTTATAAATTCTAAAATTAAAACAAAAACAAATTTAATTAATGATATTGACAAATTTTTAATTTATTAAAAAAAAGAGCATATTTATATATATAAATATATCATATTGATGGAATGAGGAACAACTGTAACTGAAATAGAAAGCTTTTGTCCGAGCAAAGCAAATCTCTCTTTTTCCTCTTCAAAACTGCTTCTTCACATGTTCACACCACACACATATATATAACTTCTTTCTTTTCTTTTCTCTTTCTCTCTCCAACGCAACCCCATCTTTTTCTGTGTAATTAATCAGAGACCTGTCATCTTTCTAGAACTTGAAGACTCAGATTCGATTGAACAGAGTTTTGAATGGAGGGCAATCATCTCCATCACCACCACCACCAACATCATCTACAACAACAGCAGAACCACCTTCAACTTCAGAACATCACAAGTGTTAACGTTGATATCATTGACAGGTTCCCCCAATGGAGCATCCAAGAGACCAAAGAGTTCCTCGCGATCCGTGCTGAGCTGGATCAGACCTTCATGGAGACTAAGAGGAACAGACAGTTGTGGGAAGTCATCTCTACCCGAATGAAGGAAAAGGGTTACCATAGAAGCGCTGAACAGTGCAAGTGCAAGTGGAAAAACCTCGTTACCCGCTATAAGGTATTTTTATTTCTCTCTCTCTCTCTCTCTCTATATATATATATATATATATATATATATACACACACACATACATGCATCAAACTCAATAATAAAATGTTAAAAAATCCCTGTTTACTACATATCGGTATGAATTAAAACAGTTTAGATCCTTAAAGCATGTAGTCTGGAGTTTGATTAGAAAAGAAAAAAAAAAATTACTTTAGCACTCGGTTGTGGGAATTTTTATTATTATTATGAATTAATTAAAAATGACACAAATTTTTATAGACTTTAATGAAATAGTTAGGAATTTGAAGGTGTTTGTGTTAAGTTCTAAGTAATTGTCGTTAATATTGTAAGCGTTATAGGTTTTTCTTATTATATATGCTAAATAGTGGCGTTTTTTTTATTTTTGAGATGTGAAGGGATTTGAGACAATGGAGCAAGAATCGTTGAGATATCAATTCCCATTTTACAATGAGTTTCAAGCGATTTTCGCATCAAGGATGCAGAGAATGCTGTGGGCTGAAGCTGAAGGTGGGTTGAAGAAGAACAAGGGGATACAACTCTCGTCTGAAGAAGAAGATAATGGTAATGAAGAGAGTGAGGCAGGTAGCAGCAGAAAGAAGAAAAAGGCAAAGCTAGTTGGTGGAGGAGGTGACAATGGTAATAGTAGGTTGAACAATTTCAAGGAGATTTTGGAGGAGTTCATGAGGCAGCAAATGCATATAGAAGCACAATGGATGGAAGCATTTGAGGCAAGGGAATCTGAGAGGAGGTTGAAGGAGATGGAGTGGAGACAAACCATGGAGGTGTTAGAGAATGAGAGAATAATGATGGAAGAGAGATGGAGAGAAAGGGAGGAAGAAAGGAGGATTAGAGAAGAAGCTAGGGCTGAGAAGAGGGATGCTCTAATCATGGCTTTGCTAAACAAGCTAGAAAGACAAGAGATGTAGTAAAAGGGATTTTGCTTGAAGAGACAAAACTCACTTCAGTAATTTCTACGCTTTGAAAGAGATGAGAAGACTTTGTTACAAGAGACAAAACGCGCTTTAATGATTTCTATGCTTTGAAGGAGATTAGTGCCAATAGTTCATTGGGGAATATAGATAGTACGCACCAAGAGACAAAAGGCAAGTGAAGATGTAGTTTAGTAGGTAGCTAGCCATGTAGCCAACTATAATGTGTTTCTTCTTCTTCTTCTTCTCATGAAGGAAGCTTAAACTAGAGGTTTGTACTTAGAAACTCTCAATTTCTTGGAAAATTTTACCTTTATGGTACTCCTTTTGATTTTGCCAAGTTGTTCTTCTATCTCCTCCTGTTTTGCCCACTTGAGGCTTTCTAATTTAACCAAAGTAAAGTAATAAAATCCTCAAATTATTTATTAGTTTATGGCACCCGGCGATGGTAATTATGGTTTTTGGTCATACAACTAGGCACTAGCCCTGTTATCATTGAGAGAAGACCAATATCTCTTGTGTGTGTCCCCATAAAAAACTTAACAAAGTTTCAAAGAGCCCCTTCTGGTGTAGTAGGTGTGGATGGATATATAAACTATAAAGTGCACTATAATTCAAACTCACATTACCTAACAGACAAACAATTGAAAACGGGAATAATATCATTGCCCGCAAGATAATGTTCGCCATAATGGCTATCCATACATTTACACGCACAGTTTTAAGGTTAATGGAGCATTTGTTGAAATGGCTCACTTCACACAAAGTGCTGTTAATTTCCTCACTTTCGGTTGCAATTGATAAAGAAAAGTAGAAATATATATACACACATGTTGTTGTTCTTCCATACCCACATATATGCTTGAACAGAAGCATAAGTAGGGTTTGTGATCAAGTGATTAGTTGTAATCACCTCAAGCCCATGAAATTAAAGGTAGAGGTTGAGCTCAACGTTGGATCTTATTTTTAAAGAAATGAAATTTATTCCTAACTTTTATTTATGCGCTTGTTGGTTCTATGTATTGTTTGACCCCCTAATAAGATACTACAAATAAAAATAATATAATTGGATAACCTGAATTTTCAGAATGCATCATGATTTATCTCCTTGTTAAGGATGGATTGTTTGAGTTCAATTTGTACTTTTGTATCCGCATGAGGATTTTGACAGCTAGCTGATATGCTTTTGCATGCACACGAGAGGTCTCCGAGGGATTGCATGCACATTGACGGGTGCACGTGAGAAAGCTAGACGTAATGGGAGCTAGCTAGCCAGAAAAGAAAGTTATCAGCCTCAGGTATGAACTTTTGACTTTTAATAAGTAAATTTCAGGTGCATGATATCATTATTAGTAATAATTTATATATGAACGTGCATACAAAATTGACTCTTTTTTTTTACTCATTAACAAAATAGTAATTAAGTGACATAAGAAGAGATGGAGATCATAGAGATCGATCGAGTCTAGAATGTAAAACCTTGTGAATGAAATCTCATCCACATTTTATGAATACAAAATTTACTTTTTTTTCGCATTAAGAAAATAGTAATTAAGTGACATATAAAGCAATGATCATAGAGATCGATGGAAGCTAAAATGTAAAACTTTGTGAATGAAATTTTACACATATTACTAGATAATTCAATTAATATTTATGGTGGTACAATATATATATATATATATATATATATATATATATATATATATATATATATATATATATATATATATATAAACGAAGGAGTTAAGCTAGTTCGTAGTAAACTAAAATTCAGTTATATATAGTTTAATATTGCACTATACAAGAGTGAAGTGTGAAGTAACACATACACACACATAAAATAACAGAGGCATTAATCCTTGGATAACATATTTTCAAGTTATAGAAACAAGTATGTGAAAAGTTTCAATGTTCTCTAGCTGATAATTCAATTTTTTTATAATATCCATATATTATTACAAGGTATTATTTCTCAAATTATCCCTGTGCAATTTAGATCACTCAGGTATACAGGAGGTAAGCTTAATTTGTTACACACTTCTTACTTATCATATGAAGGTCACAGTTCAAGAGCTAAGGTGGTGTTTCTTCCTAATGTAATAAAAGCTTAATTAAAATATAGAGCTAGAACTTATATATTCCAACAAGAATGTGGTAAGTGACGTGAGTGCGTAAACCCAAAGTATCACTGAAGGAAATCAGTAATATATTAGTTTTCATTATGGTTCATTACTGTTGAAGTAATCCATTATATAACAAAGGATTGAATTAGTGGAAGAGATTATATATACAGTTTGGAAATGTAAATTAGTGAAAGTGACTCAAATATCACTTATATTGCAATATCAAATGAAAAAGGAAGTAAACAAAAATCTTTGTATCGATGAGAAATACTGAATCATATCATATTCTAACATTTGATTTATTGGCAATATTTATGTTTTGCTTGACAATATATTTAATTAAGTTGAATTACTTGTTTCTTACTGAATGCTTTTGTGACTTATATGTATATGGTCGAGATGCTTAAAGCGTTATCATATAAGCCAAGAACATCAAACTTTATTTTGTAATGAATTGAGCTTCGCAAAATGGCCAATTATATTCGCTTGCGCCATTAAATTGTGCATCGCCAAATGTATTCATTTGGACTTCAATGTTATCACGTTATGTATGAATCATATTTCATTTTCTTAAGCTGGGTAGAGTTAATTTCAAATAATTAAGCATATTTTTTATCCTTCAAAATATATCAAAATTTAAATTTGATCTCTGTATTTCTTTTATTTTTATATTTATATTTTTATAAAAAATTATTAATTTTAATCATTATTATTAATGTGACTTAGAAAAGTATGCATGTCACACGTCAACGTAAGAATATTTGAAGTAATTAACCATGTCATTATTTAAAAGTGAATAGAAAACTGACACTTTTTTAAATGTAAAGATTAAAATAAAAAATAATTTTATAAAGATTAAAATTAATACATTTTGAGAGATAAAAAATATATTTAACCCATTAAATGTAATTGAGATATGTAATTAAATTAATTTCAATTATAGAAATTGATTATAAAATTTGTCAAATAAATAATTATAAACAAACGAATATATTGTTTAGCAAAGAAAAAAAATATCAATAAAATATATTATGTGCCTTGTCAAAATCTATTTTTAAATCTATATAGGAGGCTGAATAGAGTGAAGAAAAATATAAATTTCGGATTCACTTTTTGGGGTGAGAAAAAAATACCAAGAGAATATGAGTCCACCTTATTTAATTAATCCAATTAATTGATAAGCAATTGCAACAAAACTGTTATTTTGGTCCAAATTCCATAGTAAAAAATTGTAAGGAGACTCAAGACTATTCATTAATTCCACACAAAATCATAGACGGTGTGTTGATATTTATCAATTTAATATGTAGATAAGTAAATATATTTATCAATTTATAATATAAATTAATAATTTAACTATTTAGTAATATGATATTTTGAAATAAAAATAAAATAATAATTTTATAAACTATAAATATTTTTTTATTAATTTTAATTATTTATTTGTTTCTTATAAAAATATATCGAAAGTAGTCAGGTAACTAACTAGCTTACGTTTCAACTAAGCTTTCTGTACATTATCATTCCATTCTCTTTTCACACGTAATGTTCAATTCAAATCAATGATAGTTTCTAATTTGAATGCCTTCCTCGGCTCAAACACATCTAGCAAATGGATTTGTTTTTAAGTTTCTCTTGTAGATCCAATAAGTTGAAATTTGAATTAGAAAATTTTCCCAATTTCAAAATTTTCCGAGTATGGTCCTAAATAATTGACTAGATTTCTCCTTGTAGTAATATTTTAGTCAAATTCTTACGTTGTTTCTTATTAGAACAGCACCTTCTTCATAGTACCAAACGATTTGGAACATTGAGAAAGAACACGGTTTTCCATAAAACAATGTGCTATTCTAATTATTCATTGAAACATAAATTGTCTCTTTACATGACAACAAATAAGCTTTATGGAAAAGTTTAATGCCATAAATTATAATAAAATGATATTAGTTAATAAATTATTTACTCACGCAAAATTACTGTCACATTAATCGTAGGAGTGACAAACTAAGTATATTCTTACTAATCATATTGTATCATCATCGAAATAGTAAAATTTATTTATTTGTTATAAACTCAACTAATAATTGAATTTCTTTGTAGTGCAGAAATGGCAAATAGTGGAAGGCATTATTTGTGTTCTTTCTTAACTTCTTTACATGCTGTCGGAGAAAGATATAATAAATATTAAGAAAAATATATTTTTACATTAAAATTGTAATATTTTTTATTATCTTTTTAACGTTGAGAAATATTTTTACATTACATAAATAAATAATGATATTAAACAAAATATCAATTAGTTAAAGTTTAAATAATGAGACCGGAAGATATACTAACTTTTTAAAGTTTCACTGTAATGACATGTTTAATCTTGAAGAATATATAGGTATGAAGCGATAAAAATATATTATTTAACTTAATTTTTTAACAGGAGTACTAGTAATACTTTCTCTAGTATATTTTTTTCATTACTTAATAAAATTTATTTAAAATTAAAAAATATGTATATCTTATTTTTTTATTTTTAATTTAATATTTCTTTTATATTTTTATAAGTTTTTAATAAATTTTAACTAATAGTTAAAAGTATGTTAAAAAGAATATAGTAGAAAGAGTATTGCTATAACGGTTCTCTTTTTTGATAAATTTTTATTTTTAAAAAATTTATTGAGATTTATAAAATATAAGAAAAAATAATAAAATTGGAGTGAAAAAAGGGTAATCTACAATAATTTTTTATTTTTAATTAATAACTAAGAGTGTATTAAAAAATATATTAAAAATGTTTTATTGATATTTCTTATATAGATAAAGTTCTACTTAAATTTTGGTGTTACCCAAACGATTTCTCCAAACAGAAATATCCGTGGAATGCTAGGAGATCGTATTGATGAGAAAGATGAACACCAACTTGATCATTGTTCTTTTTCTACTTCTACTTGGATTATGATATTGCTGAAGGATGGTATTCTATTTTGCTTGTGATTTCATTTCTAATAAATCAAAACAGTGTTAGGTTATGTGGTATAATCACACCAACACAAAGACAGCGAAATGCACCATTGGACAAATATATTACTAGGATGGCACTCACGACAAGTTGTTCATGAATCATGGCGCGTACGAAGCTGTTCCCAATTAACAGTTTTTGCTCTCTCTTCCTGTGTTTACAACTTTCTTTCTCTCTGTCTTCCTCCTAATTCTTGATGAGGTTGTTTCCAGCTATATGTAATTACTGCATGCCATTACTATGGATTCAATGTTCCCACGCGTTTCTGACACAACATTATCATTATTC